CACTGTCTCCCAGGGTAGCTGACCAGGGAGGAGGCCATGTACTCCAGCATCTAGGTTGGCTTTTTGGCCAAGATTCCTTGTTTAATTTCATGACAGGGGAAAACAGAGCAATGTTCATTCATGTCCTACCAGCCTACCACTGTCTAATGTTTTCTGTTTCTTTTTGTTTCAGAATTATTTGAAGCATTTTACCTCATACTTGAGGAATTTTACATGTAATTCAGTTTCAGATTTAGGTAGAATCGAAATTGCTTCATTTAGGATTTTACTGTTGTTTGAATTGTTGGAGATATAAGATAACATGCTTGTGCCCTGACCTCTCATCCCTGCTTGCTTTTCTAAGTTTGATAGTGAGGAATATCTAGGGACCAGAATACCAACTCTGCAGTCTGAAACAGCTGCACTCTGGGAACAGCAGACATACCAATATTTCTAAATGTTTAACTTGAACAAGAAGATTGCTGACTTGCTCTCAGCAAACAATGGTGAGCTGTAAACAATGTGTGCTTTGTTTTTTTATTCAGACAGTTACCCCTTCATGGGAAGTGTGAAGCAGCTGTCTGCAACAAATAACAGATGATGTTATGATTGAGGCACTTCCTTTAGTTTCCTTAGGATCAGTCACTTTCCTTGATGGTCACTTACACTCTTAGTATAGCCTCTTTCAAGAAGTGTTGGCAACAAGTTCACAAACAATGGCTTTTCCTAAAGCTCAAGCATAAGATTCCTGACTGTGTCTTTTTCCCCCTTCTCCTCCCACCTTCCTAAGTAAGATTATAGGTACATATTTATAATATGTAATCACAGTGTTAGGTACCAGCAGTACCTAATGTTTCATCTGCTTTTTTTTGTGTGTTTTTTTTGGCTTTGGTTTTGTGTTTTTTTTTTTAAACAGGAAAATGAACAGAACTTAACTGCATTTAGGACTTGATTCCTGATGGGCTGGATTTTTGTCTTGACAGGAGTTTTTGAAGATTCATGCAGTGAAAGAAGAAACAGCCAATGGCTTCAGAATCCGTGGTCCCAGAGCAGGGAAAACAACATCTGGTAAAGGGAAAAAGGCGTCAGCAGCAAACTAGGTCTTCCAACAGTGACGGTGAAGATGACATCTTTGTATTTGAAGCAAATGAGGCTTGGAAGGATTTTCACAGCTCTCTTCTTCACTTCTTTGAAGCTGGAGAGCTCTGCGATGTTACACTGAAGGTGATACTGTCATACATTCATTGCATTTAACAGTCTGAAGATTAAGCTGTGAATAAGTATGCTGGAGCTGGCTGTGAATTTGGGCACGGGTATGGAAGCCACAGAATACCTATTAAATCTGAGGCATCTCTAGATATATTTGTGGGGTTTTTTCTTATTTAGGAAGTTTACAACTGAAATGTAAACACTTAAGTTCCTGACAGTCTGAGAGAAGAAGTTCATGACTTTGACCCAATTTGTCTGCTAAACAAGTTCCTACAGTTGATCAGTATATTACTGCGCAGTTTCAGATTCTTGTAGCCTCCTTGCTGTGACACACTTTCATCCCCAATTTTATGTCTGTTTTTGCATTCTGCATTGCTTCGCTAAATCTTTCCTGATAAACAGGATTTCTGGAACAAATCCATCTTCCAGCATTCTCAAAGGGGAAAAAAAAGTAAAGGCAACAGTCAGTTATGTTCTACAGCTGATGAAAGAGTTAAAGGAGGAAGAGGAAACCAGTTTTATGATTCTTGCATAACATTGCTTTAATGCATTCTTTGTAAGTCATCTGTATGTTACTTAAATCCTGATCACAATAAATTTATATCTAGCATCTGTAACAGTCGTTGCCAGTGCCTACAAATATGAAGTATTAGTTAGCTGGGCATCTTAGTAGGGCAAAATAGTTATTTAAGAAAAAGAGATGAAGGAGATTTGCTCTAAGAGCAAATGACAGATGCCTTCAAGAGAAATCATTTGTCTGCCACTTTTACTATAAGATATTAACAGAAAAAAACCTTGAAAGATGTGTGTCCCTGGTCCTCCCCCAGTAGGCAGCTCATCTTTCTAAAATGCTTGGGAGACAATGGGAATATGTGCGAGGAAGTGGGTATCTCTCCCTCCTGCTCCAGTGGACATCAGGAGTGGAATAAGCAAGAACATTGTTCTGTTCTGCTCTGCAACAGATACTAGATCACAAGCACTGAGCAGGCACTAGAATAGGTGCAGTGGCTCATAACAGTTCAGATAATTATCATAGGACATGGAATGACAATACTGAAGCTGCTCCAGACAGCATGAGAGCCATGAAACAGAACTGGCCAGACTGCTCATCATCAGGTCTTTTTAGATATGTCATTTTAAAAGGTGGTTTGGGGAAGAAGGTACATGTCGCAACTCTTAACAAGCCTCTTACTTTTTTTTGACCTCATCCTCACTTTTCTCTCTTTCCACTCACCCTTGCAAAAAAAGGTAGAAAGTCCTATTTTATAAACATAGTTAAACGTATACTCCTGCTAGGGAAACTTGGCTTGTAAAACACGCTATACTGTGGCTGCATTTTAACTTTCCCTAAGTTAGGCTTATATTAATGTCCATTTGTATTATTCATGTGGAGCTACTTTGGTAATCTAAGAGAATTAGATTGCTTGACTTGGCTTCCAGTCTACAAGTGGAGCCTATTATCAATGGAGGCTAGAGCAGCTGTGTACATCTTACATAAAGCTTCTGAAATCAGTGATTTTCAAGTAATTAGTAATAAAACTGGAGCTAGAGTTTTCTGAAGGGCTTGATTTTTTCTTTCTGTAGTGCTCAGGCATTTCTCATGTTTTAGGAATAACTACTTCTCTACTGAACTTTCTGCTTTTGTGCGTGGCCTCTGATAGTGAGCAGTTCTGTTATTGATGGTGTCAGGCCAATTACTGATTTAACTTCTGGCTGTTAAAATATGATAGTTACTAACTGGAGGGGAATTCCAATTTCAAAATACCAAGAACATGCTAGGTATTTTAAATGTAACAGATTCAAAAATTTAAAGGAAAGATCTAATTAGAGAGTGGGAGGATAGGCACAATAAAAATCTCTGAAGGTGAAAATGGCCTTGGAGCTTTCCCTGATACAGCAGACCAGCTGGTAGCATCTTTTTGTGTCAGAACTGTAATTAGCTGGAGTGCTCCTGTAACAGTGACAAACTGGGGGGGCACACAGGGAGACTTCCTCTTCTCCAAAGGTTTAAAAACTGGAATTTCACCTACTATAATGCTAATGTCATATGAACAGCTCCGTGTTAGAAGGTGGAGAGTGGCAGATGCATACTATCTGCTTTTCTCCTGTTGGTTTGGGGTTTTGTTCACTTGGTAGGTCTATGAATAGTTCCTTCTGGAGTGATCTTATTAACTCACACTGAATCATCTATTTTTTCCTCTCTTTTAATCTGTGTATTCTTTCGTATGTGTTTGCTTTCTGTACTCAATTTACTACTCACCAGGCAGGTTACACATGTGATAATACACACTTTTAAGGGTAGAGCTACTTTGTATTGAATTACAGCTAGAAAAAAACTCCAAATCATCCTGTATAATGTAATACCTTTTTTTTTTTTTTTTGTATGTGTGAGATTGCAGGATGGCTCAGTAACACCTTCATCTGAAAGTGAGCATGTAATTCAAGTCTATCAGGGAAACTGGTTACTTAAGTCAGCCATCCCCTTATGTTAGTGCAGACTGCAGAATGACAAATGCTGTAAGAAAGCACTCCTGTAATACAAATTAGTGGATTGTTCATTTACCTTCAGTGTTTACATTCTCATTTTAATGTGATTAAATTCTATTATTTTGTTAGTGAAAAGCTTATTTTGCACATTTGCTGATCACAATTTTGAAAAATATATTGTCTTTATGGGGAATACGCTTATCTTTTGTAGCTAAACACCTTCTAAAAATCTTGAAGTGATTGGTAGCTCTGTCAATTCTTCAACAGTAATACAAGTCCTGAGGGTTAAATTAAGTAGTCTAAAAATATCACTTTACAGTCCCCCCATCTCTGAATACACATGAACCAAACAAGAGCCTAGCAGTCTTCTGTCTCCAAGATGCATCTAGAAGGTTTCTAAGGATGTTTTGTTTAAAAAATAGCTCTTAAAGAAAAGTTCATCACATCAGTGCTATTGCTTTCTTGGGTTACCACCCTGCCGTACTCAGGCAGCCAAGTTACAACTCAGATCTGATTGGGATACGTTGATCTATGTCAGAAGTACAGGGCAAATGGAGTTAATTTGTTTAAAGAAAATACAGTAGCTCAATGCATATTGAGTTCAGAATTCTTATTTCAGCTTGCCTGTCCATTCTTCCATAGCTGAAAAAGACATTCCCATAAAAGATTGGGTTTTTTTTTTGTTTTGTTTTGTTTTTTCAGGTTGGTTCAAAATTTATCTCCTGCCACAAACTGGTGCTAGCTTGTGTTATACCTTACTTCAGAGCCATGTTCCTCTCAGAAATGGCTGAAGCCAAGCAGACGGTGATCGAGATCAGGGACTTTGATGGCGATGCAATAGAAGATCTAGTGAAGTTTGTGTACTCCTCCCGGCTTACTCTGACAGTGGATAACGTCCAGTCTCTCCTGTACGCTGCCTGCATTCTGCAGGTGGAACTGGTAGCAAAGGCATGCTGTGAATACATGAAGCTGCACTTCCATCCCTCCAACTGCCTGGCAGTCAGGGCATTTGCAGAGAGCCACAACCGCATTGACTTGATGGAAATGGCTGATCAGTATGCTTGCCAACATTTCACAGAGGTGGTGGAGTGTGAAGACTTTGTGAGTGTGTCACCACAGCACCTCCATAAGCTCCTGTCCTCCAGTGACCTGAATATTGAAAATGAAAAGCAAGTTTACACTGCTGCTATCAAGTGGCTGCTAGCCAATCCACAGCATCATGCTGCATGGCTGGATGTAATACTTGCCCAGGTAGGGCAGACCAAGGTTCCTGGTGTCTTGTCTCGTCACTGGTTTAGATTTATAATCAACTGTTTGTCCTTAGGTAGATCTCAAGATGAAATATGTTCTTACCAGTTGGTGACTCATCTGGTATTTACAGTTGTGAGTTGACAGTGGAAGCAGGTTAAATCTCTTGAATATCAGGAAGAGGCTGTATTCTCCAGTTTCTTTAGAGAAGAGTATTCACTTTATGCTCATGGCTGGGAGGCAGGGAGCCAACAAAAAGCTGCATCTTCGTTAGAGCAGAAACTCCTTAGATTTACACATGGTGGAGAGCAAAGCCATCACTTCACTTGGTTTGATACTACTACAGCCTGAAATACTCACTTCGCTTGCTGGTAAGAATCGGTACTTAAAAAAGGACAGCAACGCTGTTGAGTTTTTTTACATAGCTAGGAAAGTAAAGCTGTAATCGAGATGTGTCGTATCAAGTTGAGCTACTTCTAGAATATTCCATATATTTAATTAACAAAAGACCAAGATGTGTTAGCCCTATGAGCAGCCTAGGAAACATACTCTAGACCCTTCCGTGTTCAGTAGACTAGTGCTACTGATTACCTGTAGGACCTGAAAGGAGCTGCCAGTTTAATCATCTAGACTTGATACGAGTCTGGTGCTTCTGAAAGAAACAGGATATCAAAAGGTCACTCAGCTGAACTTACATAAACTCCCTCAGTTATTCAAGCTCTGTGTGTGCTAGTTATGGGAGTTTAAAATACAGTAATTGAGACATGTATGGAGAACCTGTGCTGGGGAAGAGGGAGGTACATGCTGTGTGCTGCAAAATGTGCTATGATCTTAGCAGGTAAGATCAACTGTGCTGTTTCAGCTGTCACTGAATGCCAACTTGAATATTTTGCATTTGGCAGAATTGCTAATATTGATGTCATATGAGTAATGAGAGGTCTACTAACATACTGCTGTCATTGTCTTCACGCATCATTTTTCACATTTCCTGGTAAAAAGATCACAGCTGTGTATTAACTGTCTCCCAAAGCCTTTCAGTTTCATCTAGACAAGCATAAGATTTTTTGTACAAAAAAACCCTTCTTTAGTACACGGTAATTAAATTCACAGGCAATGTAATTTTAGATTTAAAAAAATAACAATTTTTATTACCCAATTATGATAGCAGAAGGGATTTACAGCTTTATTCTATTCATGAAAACCAGAGTCTAGAACAAAGCAATGAAAAAGTAAGCCCCTTCCTGTAAATACGGGTTATTTGCCAGAGTATATGGAGCCATCGCTTGATCTGAACATTACTGCTAGGAGAAAACACAACATTGTTTCTTGACGGTTATTATCTACATCATAATCAGCCTTACAGGTTTTGCTGTTATAATGAGGCTCTGAATTTGTCAGCCTTGAGTTCTTACCATATCACTAATCTCACAAGTCTGTTAGCAGGGCTTTGGTGGTGCTTTTGATCAGCCTAAAATAAGTTGAGCCAAAGTAAATGAAGAAGTGGAACTGAAAGCAACTGGGCAAGGAAGAACTGGTACAGACACTTGCTTACTTGAAGACAGGGACACTTGCCAGCCTATCCTGCTGCTCTGAGAAGCACTGCAGATACTGGACTTCTTCACCATTGTCTCTGAACTGATTGGGAGCTGCTTGACAGCATTGACTCCAAACCTTAGGAAGTCAGATGGTGGCTTACTTCAGTTCCCCCTACTAACACACATCCCACCTTTGTGCCTGATTGTACTTCATAGTCCTCACTGTTTCTTTCTCATGATAATGTGAAGATAAATGAAAGCTTTGCCGAAATAAATAGAAAGGGAAAAGGACATTTCAAGGCAGTTTTGGAGAAGCTGACCTTATTTCAGATATGCCCTGTCACTGGGGATTGCTCTGGGAGGTAAATACCTGTAGTTGCACCCAGAAAGACCCTTCCATTCCTCCACCTCGTCACCAGCTCTCTTCTGGGAAACTACAGGAAGGAAACAGGTAAACAAAAAATTAGCTCTCAAGGTGGTTTTTTGTTTGGTTTTGATTTTTAAATCCTGTAGTCAAGTCCACACCAGAGAGAGGTGTTACACTAGCAATACCTTCTTGATAGAAACAGTTCATGCTGATAATGTGTCCTTTTTGACTTGCCACCCACAGAAAATGAACCATTCTAGCAAAAGGCCTCTTTTGCTGGCATAGCAATGAGCTGGAAATCCATACGCTCCTCAGACTAACCTGACATGGGCTATCCTGGCAGAGTCACAGGTACTGCCTTCATCACGCCAGGCAGGTGCCTGAGCCACGGAACAGTTCTCTTCTGCTGCTTAAATGCAAATGGTTGTAGCAAACGTTTGTCGCTAAAAAAGAGCTGTTTGTATTGCTCTTACTTTAGGAAAAAAATATGAAAACCTCTCTTTTTAGTGAAGTGCGTGGGGCTGCCAGCTGACTCAGAAGCTCCATCTGTTATGCGTGTGTCACTGTAAATGGTGAGACTCAGTCAGTTCAGCCAGTTACTCCAACTGTGTTCATTTCTGTTAGGTACGGCTGCCTCTCTTGCCCATTTGTTTCCTTATGGGTGTTGTGGCAAAGGAAGAGATTGTCAAGCAGAATCTAAAATGTAGGGATTTGCTGGATGAAGCAAGAAACTACCACCTTCGCCTGAGCAGCAGGGCAGTGCCAGACTTTGAGTACTCCATTCGCACAACACCAAGGAAGCAGACGGCTGGTAATTAAATGTGTGTCTGATTATCCAGTAGGAAGTAGTTTGGAGAAAAGGCAGTACATCTGTGCAGGGTTAGCTGGCTTGATATAAATGATTGTTAATGACTTAATGCAAAATTGGGAAAGCCATTGGTTATCTCTCTGAATTACCTAATTACAGGTAATGTGCTGCATTTTCCTAGCAGAACTTTAGCAGTAATTTTCTTTTTTTAAATCATTATTTATCCTAATTAGCTCTATCTGCATTAAAGCCAGAACTGTTAAGTATGGTATGACCAGGCAGTATGCTCTAAACTGTACTGAAAACAACAGACACTTACTTTTGGTGTGAAAAGGTTGAGCTAACTTTTAAACTCTTGGGCTAACCTTCATCAAAAGTAAGTGATGAATATTAGACTGCAAATCCTAATTGTTACGTTTAACAAAATCTGTTTATCTCTCTAAGCAAAATCACAAAAAGCATATTTAAAATATGCATTGGTTTTGCAAGATAGTTAATTGGCATAGTTTACAGGTAGTTAATTGGCATAGCAGCACGCCAAGCAAAGCCCAAAATCCAGCATCCAGTTATGGAGGGCAGCCATACCCCTTGGAGTGAAATACAACTTCTCCCAAACTGCATAATTTTCAGTTCACTCTTCTCTGCAACTTTATCTCTCTTCTTCTTGCTAGTTTTCTGGAAACTTGTTTTGTCTTCTTCAGGTGTGTTGTTCTGTGTTGGTGGTAGAGGTGGATCAGGCGACCCATTTCGCAGCATTGAATGCTACTCTATCAGTAAGAACAGCTGGTTCTTCGGCCCCGAAATGAACAGCAGGAGAAGGCACGTGGGTGTGATCTCTGTGGGAGGTCAGTAAACCCATTTAAGCAACCCTGATCAAAAGGCACTTGTTTGGTGGAATTGGTACTTTTACTACTTGTAGTACTTACACTACTTTACTTGTTTAACTTGAATATTCCTCAATTTAGTAAAGCTTGTTCCCATTAAGAGGTTTTAATTCTGAAACAATCTGAGAGCAGGCTTACTGAAAAAAGCATTGCTGCAAACTGAGAGAGCTGGAGAGGGCTCCAGGCAGAATTTATGGCGGCCTTTCAATTCTTAAAGGGGACTTACAAGAAAGATTGTGGTAGGCTTCATAGTAGGGCTTGTAGCAATAGGACAAGGGGTCCTATTTTTAAATAAACTGAAGGAAGATGGATTTTTTTTTTTTTTTTTTTACAATGAAGGTGGTGAAACACTGGAACAGGTTGTCCTGAGAGGCAGAAGATGCTCCATCCCTGGAGCAAGGTTAGGCTGGATGAAGCTTTCTGAGCAACCTGATCTAGTTGAAGATGTCCCTGCCCATGGCAGGGGTGTTGGAACTAGATGATCTTAAGGTCCTTTCCAACCCTGACTATTCTATGATTCTGTGTTCCTCCTCATTGCAGGAGGGTTGGACTAGATGGCCCTCAGAGGTGCCTTCCAACTCAAACTAGTCTATGATTCTATGAACTGTATAAAGCGTCTTGCCTTAATACGTGATTTATTTTTATAAATCCATTTACAAAGAAATGGTCTTACACAGCAGTTACCCAGAATTTGCTAGTGCCCATATTCGCTCCCTTCATTCTTAAATCTGTGCAGTCAAGTCACTAAGACCATAACTCTTCCAAGGAGAGACCTACCTTTATTTTTGGGTCTGCATCTTCTGAAACCAGATCCATGAAGTCCAGGGCAGCTTAGCACCCATGATCATAGAATCACAGAATGGTTTGGGTTGGAAGGTAGTGAAATAATAAGAATAAACTAGCGGGGTGTATTGTGCAGAATTTGGGTTGGAAACCTTAAAAATCATCCAGTTCCAGCCCGCCTGCCGTAGGCAGGGACACCTTCCACTAGACCAGGCTGCTCAAAGCCCCATCCAACCTGGCCTTGAACACTTGCCAGGGATGGGGCAGCCACCGCTTCTCTGGGCACCCTGTGCCAGTGCCTCACCACCCTCACAGTGAAGAATTTTTTCCTAATATCTAATCTAAATCTCCCCTCTTTCACTTTAAAGTAATTTTCCCTTGTCCAGTCACTACATGCCCATGTAAAAAGTCCCTTTCCAGCATTTTTGTAGGCCCCCTTTAGATACTGGAAGCTGCTCTAAGGTCTCCCCCTGAACCTTCTCCAGGCTGAACAAGCCAGCTCAGCCTGTCTTCATAGGAGAGATGCTTCAGCCCTCTTCATAGCCTTCCTCTGGATTCACTCCGACAGGTCTATATCCTTATGTTGGGCTTATGATGCAATTTTTCCTTGTACACGGTAGCCCCTGTGTTGCTGCAGCAGAACAGCAATCTCCCCCACAACCCCCTAGAAAATCTGGTGAGACTGATAAAAATGTCCAAAAAATGATCTGACCTCCAGTACTCAAGAGATTTTTTTTTTTTGTCTATATGACCTCAAGGTTTGTATAACAGTCCACATTAGAGCAGATTTCGGGTTGAATACAGCATTTAAAAATATGAAGTCCATACTTGTTAAAATCCTGATACTGAAAACATTTGAAAACGTTAACCTTTGAGCTTTTTGTCTCCAGGTAGGCAGATATTACATAAATGAAAAGTGAAGTATTGCCAAGCAATATCTCTTTCAAAAGATGTTTATGTGTTCAGGTAAAGTCTATGCAGTAGGTGGTCATGATGGAAATGAACACTTGGGAAGCATGGAAGTATTCGATCCTCTCACAAACAAATGGATGATGAAGGCATCAATGAACACGAAGAGGTACGTGTCCCATGATCCAAAATTTAAGCCCTAGTCTGTGACAGATGATTTCTTGCTGATGCTGAAAATAATCATGTCTGTGCTGCCTTTTTGTTTCCAAACTTTGCTATTTTTAGGATTCCTTTTTTTTTTCTTATTCTGGGGCTTCATGCTAGTACACAGCTTGATTTACTAGCTGTAAAGCAAATGCAAATCTGCATCACACTTGCATCTGTCACATACTTGCACAAAGTTGTGCATAACATACTGTAAATATTTCAGTGCAAAACTGCATAATCCCCGATTATGTTGCTGCTTTGGCTTTCTTTTATTGCTCTATTTTCCTTTTATTTTTTCCTTTTCTTGGGGGGGCTGGTTTTTGAAGCACTGAGCTCTTCGTAGTCTTACATTCTGATATCTAGGGCCTTTTCTGCTATGCCCAATAAAGAACTCAAAACTGACTAACTGGTTCTGTGGGGTTTTTTTGCTCTTTTTTAAGAATGAGCAAGACAAGTGCCAGCAGAACATGCACAGTGAAATACTTCATGCCTAGGAAACAAACAGCTGCCTATGCTTTTGCCACAAAAGGCCAGAAGAACTAAAACATTGAAAGTCAGCCTGAGGATTTTTCTTGCCTTTTGACATTTGAGATTCTTTTAAGGAGCTACTGGACTCACAGATCTGTAATTTTTTGTTTCTGCTGTCATTTAAATCAGCCTCCTTAATTCTACATTCCATTGTTATTTGTTGTTTGTAAAAGCATCCTGTAAAAGTAGGATTGAAATACGGAGCATGGCTAAGTCCTAAAGCTGTGACCTCATCAAAGTAAAGACCCAGACTCCTAAAAGGGGCTTCTTGCTTCACTTCCTCCCTTCTGCCACCACCCAGGGCGTATTTTCAGCAAACTTAATGCTTACATTATAGACCATGTTTTTAATTTTGTAATACTGATTGTACACTCCTACTGGTACATTCAGTAGAAAAAAAAAAATCTGGCAAAAAATCTGGCAACTACTTTAAGACAGACCTATTGGAAAATAATAGAATAGAAGAAATTGCAATTAAATCTTGCTAGAGGTCGGTCATCAAATACCTGGCACGGGTTTGCATTTTAATACGTATCAATATCACCCCCCAAAAATCATCCCGAAGCGTAGCAGCCTCTATACCAACAAAGTTAAAATCAGCAGGTTTTGGTTCCCCATCAGCCACAACAAAAAAAGATACAAAGTGTCAAATTCACTACCGAAAGCCAGGTAACTAAGGCAATCTCATATATCCAAGCATGTAAGTAGAGGACTTGGGCTGTAAGTGACACGCCGTCAAAACAGTATTCCATGCCTCCCCGCCTTTAGGTTTTTATTATTTTTGAAACAGGAGCTTTGTCTTTCTGCAGTCTAAAAATATTCTAGCTGCAACAGTCCTGTTCATGGGTCACACAGTAACATACAAGTACATGGGAAGGCTGAGGTAAAGGTGAGAGAAACTCAATGGGAGGCTGCAAACGCAGAAAAGACTTTGAGGATAAAGCTGCAAGCCTGGCACAGGTGTGCCTGCCACAGTGACTGGTCATTGTGTATTATAAACTGCACTTTTTTAAACTTCATTACTTTTTCTCCATAGTTTGAAGGAGGTGCCAGTCAGGTAACATTGCACTTCATGTGTCTTTCCCATTCCCTTTTTCTAAGGATTTGCACTGAGGTATTGATCCTATGGTTTTCTTAGGAGAGGAATTGCGCTTGCCTCTCTGGTTGGCCCCATTTACGCAATAGGAGGTTTGGATGACAACACTTGTTTCAGTGATGTGGAAAGATACGACATTGATTCCGATTGCTGGAGTGCAGTTGCCCCAATGAACACTCCCAGGGGAGGAGTTGGCTCTGTAGCCCTTGTGGTAAGTGACTTCTTCCTCCCAAGGTGGGGCCAACCAAGGAGCTGACCGGCTTTTTAAATCTTTTACAAGGCAGAACACAAAGGAAAATGAAGCTGGTGGGTCTGAGCACCTCCAGTCATCAAAATCCTATGGAACTGTGCACAAGGTGAGGATATTTAGGATAATACTCATGTCATGTTGAACTACATGCCCTGTTTCAGCAGTATTTGAGGTTCTGGGTGCAAGTAGCCGGACCATTCTGACATCAGGTTAATGCCTCATGTCTCACTCAGAAGACTGGTTTGTCATGGTTACTATGTTTAAAGGTAGTGAACACATCTGCACTTAAATCCCCCTGTCACTATATATACTTTGCAAAATATCTACAATACTACGTAACTTTTTCACTTCTTTATTTGCAAAAGAGCATCATTAGATAATTACGTTTGTTGCTGGAATTCTTACATAGAAGTAAATAATTGGAGCTGTATGGATATACACATTTGCCTATAATTGTAACAAGGCTTATGAAAAGCTGAGTAAATAGATACATTACACATAATCTTTCTTTATACAACTGTTTTCCAGAACCATGTTTATGCTGTGGGTGGCAATGATGGTGTAGCATCTCTTTCCAGTGTGGAGAAATACGATCCCCATTTGGATAAGTGGATAGAAGTGAAAGAAATGGGTCAGCGAAGAGCTGGCAATGGTGTCAGTGAGCTCCATGGCTGCCTGTACGTTGTCGGTAAGTAGAGATGAGGTATTTTGTAATGCTCTTTCTGCCAAGTACTGGCATTTGGAAAAGGCTGTTGATAGAAGAATTGATAGGTAGACCTGACCTGTACTTTGTGTTCTTGGGCAGGAAAACAAAGCAAGCACAACCAGGGCATGCTTATATGAAAGGATGTTAGTGAGGAAATAAAAAGCAGTTCCTTTACCCACATTTCAGGATGCCTATACTGTTCAGGACAGTATGTCCATACAGAAAATCCTCTTGAGATTCACTAATCTTGAGTTTCCTTTAGGAAAATTATTAAGTTCACATACTTTCAAAGCACTTTATTTCTATTTTGAGCTTAAATGGTAGCTTTTTCACAAAGTGATTACACTTCACAGCCTGTTGTCCTAGGCCTGTCTTGATCTGCCCTACGTTGCATTTACCTACTTTCCTAAGGGAGGAAGATGCCAGGTAGATACACCATAGTGATAGTTGCAGTCTTCTGCCTAGTGTATCATCATAAGTGATTAAAGAAAGCTTTGAGTAAGATGCTCCTCTGCCAGCTGCCCCAGCAAGGGGAATGCAGTGCTGAAGTCTAATTTGAGGATTTTTTCCCTGAAGTGTTCAGCAATGCTGTAATTTGAAACCACCACAAGAGGGTGTTCTGCTTAAACCAAAATAAATCAGGCCCATCCTTTTACTTGTCTTAGGTTTTTTTCTGTTCCAAATTAAAAAGTTGTTTCATTGTAATGATGTGCTAAATGCATTTAAGGAGGAAAATAACAGAAACACCTTTCCTTGCAGCTTGAGTAGAACACTGTCACTCTGGGTGATGCTTACACAGTGACAGAGGGGGGGCCATTAGATTAATTTTTAGAAGCTTGTGAAATTCATGTAAAGAGCTGGAGCTGGACACTAGCCTACTGAATGCCAAAAATAGCCTGATAATGCAGTCCTGGATATCACTGGCACTAGAAGTGACGTAAAACTGACAATGTGATGATTCTTTGCAGGTGGCTTTGATGACAACTCTCCGCTGAGCTCGGTGGAGCGGTTCGACCCACGCAGTAACAAATGGGAGTATGTAGCAGAGCTTACAACTCCAAGGGGTGGTGTTGGCATAGCGACACTGATGGGTAAAATCTTTGCAGTTGGAGGTCATAATGGCAACGTGTACCTGAATACAGTGGAGGCATTTGATCCCATAGTGAATAGGTAACTTAAAATGCTTTATTTGGCTTAAGAAAATGAAATCAGCCTATATGAAAACATAACAGAAATAGCATGCAGCAGGAGTCTAGCTGCTGTTTCCTGGTAGTAATTGAGTAATATCCATGACTAGCTACATTTACGCCACTTGGTTCTTCTTGTAAATACTTAAACACCTCCTCCTTCTTCCTCCTCCTCCATCCCTTGTCCTCTTCCCTTCATTCAGTAAGAATCTACATACTTCCGGTTGTTTCAGTCTGATTTCACACTAAATTTACTAGTGAAATAATAAGAATAAACTAGCGGGGTTTATTATTGTGCAGATTAAACAGCTAGGTTGTATAGTAGAATTTCAGATGACTTTGGAAGGTCCCTTCCAACCCACACTATTCTGTGATTCCGACACAGAGAAGAAATACTCAGAAAGGACAGGAGCTTACTTTTCTTGTTTCCTCTGCCATCTTCTTCAGGTGGGAACTCGTCGGCTCCGTGTCGCACTGCAGGGCAGGGGCTGGCGTGGCTGTGTGCTCTTGTTTCAGCAGCCAGATCCGGGACGTGGGCCAGGGATCCAGCAACGTTGTTGACTGCATGTGAGATCTGCTGCCTCCTCCGAATTCCAGAGGAATGCGAGCAGGGAGGCACTGCAGAGCTTTTAAACACCGTGTTTTGTATGGTAGCGTAAGAAATAAAACCAATACATTTTTGTTGTGAAAGTGTTACTTTCTGCAACTGTAAAGCTTTTGGTGGCTGTCTGCCAACAGTGATACAGAAAAGCCTGTGAAAACGTAGAATACATGTGTGACTCACAGGAGAGAACCTGCCAAGAGCTGCCATCATCCCATTTTTGAGAGGCTCTAATTTTAGAATCATTTGAGGCAGCTGCTGCAGGAACTCTGTTGAATTGTAAACCAGGCATGGCGTGAGTGAGGAGAGAGGGCAGCAGGTGGTACTGCTGAGCCTTACCCAACAGCCCTGCCACATGTTTCCTGGAGAACTCAAGTAATGTTTAATAGAACCCATTTTCAGGAATATTGTCTTAAACATTTCCTAATTACAAGATCTTTGTAATACAAAGCATCTCAAGTTTTGGAAGGTAACAGCATCCCTGTTGCACACTAAGGTAACTGCCCACCTCCCAAGGGGCCACTGACAGCAGTGGAAATGGCATCTTTCCATCTGAAACCTGTCTTTCCAAGTACTTTCTCAAGCTAATACATTTGTTAGATTGCTGAAAAGATTCTTGACCTGAGTTTAGCCACAGGAATACTGGAATTTTCAAGTCTTCAATAAAATTTGTAGTAACTCCTGCCCCTCCCCACCCAAGGCAAGTTTCTGTTTAGGTATCATTCCTGAAGTAACCAGCGTAATTTGTCCTAATAGCTTATGGAACTGTAGGCTTCAGTGGTGTCTGAATCACCATTTTTATACAATTGGAAATACACAATCAAAGTTGCAGTATTCTGTTAAGACCCTCAAATACAACTCCAGGAGGTGAGATGTCCATCTTCAGTATCCAGTAGTTGTAACTCTAGAGGTACTGGCTCTTTTAAGGGAGTTAGGCCAGGAAGCGTAGCCTCAGAACAGGTAGGTGACATAGCTCACGTAAACCAAAGACAAACATCGACAAAAAAAATTGGAAATAAACCATTTCTTACATAAAAAATTTAAGTAGAAACTTGGCAGTGCTGTGTACAAAGGTGTCTTGCATGAAGCCAGAAACTCTGCATTCTGAGTGAAGTACAGCTAGAAAGACAGCAGATTCCTGTTCCTGCATCACCTTGAACAGAGCAACTGACAATCCTTTGTGACCAAACTTTCACCTTACCAGCTTGTGTCAAGTGACCAGGAAAAGCAGAAGACTCCTCTGCATTCAGTACCAGGACAGAGGCAGAACAGCAAGAACATAAGACACAGGCATGCTTTACTGTTGAGTTGCTGTCATTCAGCTTTTGTGTTTCTGTGGCTTGCACTTTGGTAGCGCCCAGGGACAAAGCGAACGGTACTGTGAATAATGAACCATTGCAATAAATTGTTTGTACTTCAAAGCACCTTGTTTATAGTGCAATCAGAGTGTCCTGTTGCAAGGAAACATTACACCACTGAGTATTTTTACCTAGTGGAAGGTGTCCCTTCCCATGGCAGGCATTTGGAACTGGATGATCCGTAAGGCCCCTTCCAGCCCAAACCATTCTGTGATTCTGTAATTCCCAATAGGAAGCCTTTGTTAGCAGGGAAAATCCCGTGTTACAGCTGCAAACTGTACTACCCTGCTACTGCCCTGCCCCTGTGCAAGGACATGGTCACCCTTGTGGCTCTTGATCTGACTAAGAGGGGTGGCCCGAAAAGGTCCAGGTACCCTCTATGGAACTGAACAGGTTCTGCTGTGGGTGTTCTGGCTAAGGGGAAACCTTCAGAGAAAATAAAGTCAAGTTTTTCACAAAGTAACACTGGCTGAGAAAGCCAGCGCTGCTTGCCCGCTGATCCATTCCTCCTCCTGGTGGGGAAGCACCAGCGCCTATGGGTGCAGCCTGTAACTCACACACATGTGGGTAGCACTGGTGCCTGCAGGGTGATCGCTGTCAGAGGGAGAGTTTTCATGGCTTTTGTGTTAAGCCGTGAAATGAAGCTAGAGCAAACGCACTGGGATTCTGTACTGGTGGGAGGAGCTCTGCTTTGGCCCTGTAGCTGGAAGGCAAATGGTGCTAAAGTGATTGCGATAGAGACATTTCAGTCTGCATCCCCTCCACCCCCAACATCAGCCATGCTCAGGCTTCCAGAGGCATGTCACTAAGGGCTGGCAGGAAGACTGCAGACAGGTTTAAAAGGAACAGCCCTGTTGCCAGCAGAATGGTGTCCACATTATTAATCTCAGATGGCACCAGAACTACAAATAGTTTGTGCAGAGCTGTTTTTAGAAACACTATTGCTGGAAATGTGATAATGATGTCAAAGTATAAAAAAATAAAAATAAATTAAAAAAAAAGACAGGATTACTGTGGCAACCACCTGTAATGACTTAGGTGTGATTTAACACCAGCAAACTCATTTTAATTCCTCCAGTTCCGGCAATAGAATGATGATTAAAAAGTAACACACACCTCCCAGGCTGCGGAAACATTGTAACACTGGTTCCCCCTGGTGAGGCAGCCCCCAGGGGCAGCAGACTCAAACTCCCACCACGTCTTCTAATTTAAACTTGGGATTTGTGATAGCGAAGTCTTTAAACATCCAAGGTTATGAAATCCTTGCATCTAAATGTGATGGACATCCTAATTTAGAATAGAATCATAGAATGGTTTGGGTTGGAAGGGACCATCAAACTTCATCTAGTCCAACCCCCTGCAATGAGTAGGAACATTCAACTAGATCAGCAGAAATTGTTATTGTTTCTGTTAATGATGTTCTTTCTGCATCTAAAAGCCTTGTCCTCACCCATAAAAATCATAGACCCAAAGATGTCCATCAGTACATCCATTAAACAAAGACTAAAGTTGTTTTGGAAGAATCAAGTGTGGTCACAATTAATCACATCAAAGCTTCCAGCCTGCCGATTTGAACCACGTGATGGGCTTCCCAGTGGGAGCGAGACCAGGCTCTGGACCACTCCTGACTATTCCCCTTGGCCATATATCTCCAGTTGCCAGTACTTCAGAGTCCCACTGCTGCTCCAGCTTCTGGGACATGGCCCCTCCATTTCCTCCTGCCCCACAGCAGCCTTCATGCACTCACTGCTCCTCAGCTCAGGACTCCAATTGTGGCTCCCCAGTTCCTCCCAAACCACACCACTGCCAAGGGCAGTGCATCATCTGCTGTGCCACCCAGCCAAAAGCAAAGCAAGCCCAGCTCTATTAGGATTGGACATCCTGCTGCAGTGTTCAGATGTGGACAAAAGACTCCAGAAGGTGATGCACGTGTGTCCTGGGTTCAGCAGTAGCAGTCATTTTTCTCCTTCTCAGTATCTGGTGCAGTGCTGTGATTTTGACTTTCAGCCTGGGAACACCGATGCTTTTAGTTGTTGCTCAGTAATGTTTACTCTGACCAAGGACTTTGTGAGCCTCACGCTCTGATGGAACAGAGGATGCGAGTGACACAGGTGCAGCTGCACCCTGGCCAGCAGAGAGGGCAGCTTGTGTTCAACTCACCCTCGCTCCCCACCAGAACCACAGCAAGATCCACACATGTATGGCCACAACACGAGCTGCCTTCCCATGCTCCTCTTCTTACCTTCCATGCATCTTGCAGCCGGCCTGGGGGAGACCTGCTGTCACACCACTTGAAACACTGGTTGATGGCAGTGAACTGAGTCCCAGTCCCACCTTGCCTGAGCAAAGGCACCACCAAGCTCCTCCTGTCTAAGCCTGTAACTAAAATTCCCACCAGATGCTCACATGGGGATGTTTCACACCTGGGTTATTTTACTAACGAGATACTTCTTTCCTTTACCCTTTCTTCAGTACCAGTTTTGCCACTGGGGCTTTACGTGTGCAGCAAAAAAGCGCAGACCCCCCAAAAGTGTACCTTTTCTGTACAACATCTGTAACAGGAACGTGTCTGGTGGGTATTACAACAGGCTTCAGAATCCTCTACAGTTTACAGACTACGTTAGAAAACCACATCCATGCTTAGCAGACCTCTTTGGCGCAGTGTCTGATGCAGAAAGGACCTGAATAATGCACAGACTGTATCACAATAGTGCATAGAGACATGCAGAAATCATTCTTCCAAGGCACAGTCACACTGCCCAACATAAAACCAAATAATGGGAAAAGCCCCAAACAAGAACTGTTAAGGCCGTTGCAAAGAGCTCACCTCACACAACCCACGAGAAGCAGAGCTACTACGGGGCATGGAACCCTATGGGATTCCCTGAGGCAACGGGATTTCCCTGTCAGCGAGTGCTCAGAGCCAGGCTCTGGTGGCTGCTGGCGGTTGACTCTGGCACAGTCTTCTCTGAATCCATTTCAGGAGGAGAAGAGGCTGATGCCTTGAATCATGACCCTCCTGCCACCCTGAGCACCTAGATTTGCACACATTCTTGTTCCCAAAGGAAAGGGCAAGGGGTGACAAACAGGGGAGCAACTGAAACGGAGACTTCTTGTACATAAATTCATACTTAAACCTCATTCAGAAGGGAAACGCTAAGACCAGTCAGAGAGAAAAGGCAACCCACAACTTCTCTACAAGAAGCACGAAGACGCTTGCAACAACTCATAACAAATGGGCTACTTCATTTATTGTTTATTTCCCCACATGAATGAATCGACCATCTCAGAAACTCCATCACACACAGGGCAGAAAACATCATTTACAAGACGAACCTGTGTCCCCAAAATAAGGTTCAGGCCTCTGAGCTGGCTCGAGGTGGAAGCATGATGGCTTTTAAAAAATTAACTATTATTGTAACAGTCTCCTCCGTGACCTGCAAGAAAGCACAGCTTCCTATGTAGCTTGGTACCGATGCTTCCTGAGATTGCTTTTGAAACGAAAGCCCCCAAATACCGCCCTGCACACCTGTGACATGAACTGCCCAGGATCCCATTTCCTCCAGTTCCAGGGGAGTTTGCCTTGGGAGTGGGAGCAGTCCTTGCATGACCACTGCCACACAGTAGCAGAGCACATGTGCCCTTTCCCAGCTGTAAAGAGGCAAATGCCGGTACATCTGCCTTGCCCAGGCGTCTTCTTACCAACTCTGCTCACACAATGCACTTGCATGAGCTTTCCAGGGCAGCAGATGATTGCCATCTGGGCAGCAAAGCGCCTAAAGGGCCGGCAAGGACAGGACCTGGTGCACCCACAGCTTACAGCAGGGGTGGGCAAGTGGCTCTCCAATGGGAACACGGTCTGGCAGCAGGGAGTGAGAGGGGTGTATGCAAAATTACAGTCCCGAGGGGACCTGCGTCCCTGCTTCACCTTATGCTTACCCATAACTAACACTCTGCCAAGGCTCTTGCAGACTCCCACAGTGGTTTTCAGATTCAATAAAGCTTCCTTCCTCTTCCTCAGCCGGTGAGCCTAAAAATTGCTAAATTGCTTTGAAGACAAAGTCGCAAGGCGGCATCGACCCACTAGGATGGAATCGAGCTCCAAAGTGCATGTCAAGCCTTCAGGCTGGCTGGCCATCCCCATGCTTCCCGAGAACAAAACACTTAAAGCTGAGCCCCTCTCTGTCCCTGGCTCACCCAGAGCAGCCCAGGGAGAAGGAGCGCAAGTGAAGTTTGATAGCTAAAAGAGCGAGGGGGGGACATGGACCTTCCTTCCACTGGTTAGGACAGCTTATCCCTGAAAGGCACTAAGGCTTTCAATAAAGTGAACATACAAGGACAGTCCCTTGAAGGTACACGAGGTCCCGCACTGCCAGGGTAGGCGAAGGGACTCCAGGCTTCCCGGTGGCAGAGGCCATTTCTACAGGAACTACTTCTGGAAACGCACACCTTTTGCTCTCCGCTTTCGTGACCATCCAGACTACTAGCAGGTAATTTACACAATACTGCTGCACACACGCAGACCTGTTCCTCCATCCTGAAATCATGGGGAAAACGGAGCTCATCCTTTCCTGCAAGTACAGCTATTTTAGGACACCATTCTCTTCACCACTCCCACAGGTCTGTCCGAGACAGGGCAAGGGATGCCAGAGGGGACCAGAGGGCTAAGGCACACTGTGAGATATGAGGAGGGCAGGATGCTGCTGCCACACAACAGGAAATCTTTGGGTAGAGAACGGTGTCCCCCTACTGAACACACAAGTGCCGCAGATGCTGCCCTCACAGTTACTGTCACCTGCAAAATCACATTTTCAAAACGCAGCCCCCAACAAGGAAAAAATTGCTTGCAAACAGCTCATTATTCCCTCGGGTGTCCCCTTGACAAATTCCTAAGTTGCTGGGCCCATCCTATAGTTTGGTTCAGAGAGAGCACATGAGTTACCTCCCACACGAAGGATGTCCTACTTTGCTACCAAACCCTGCTTTTACATAGTCACTGACACCAACAACGGTTACAGGCAAATACCCAAACACAAAATTTGTCTTGTGTTCCACATTCAACCACTCAGCCCCTCCTTAGAGAGAAGGGATTCCTCCCCGTGCAAGCTCTCAGACCCAGAACAGCGTCCAAGCAACCACAGTGACCCGGCACAAGCCGAGTACCCCCACTAGTCAAAATGGCAAAAAGCAACAGGACAAGGAGTCCTCAGTGTCAGTGATGTCCCTTCACCACAGCAGAGAGCAGAGGCAGAGCTCTTTCCAACCACATTTGGGCAGTTTGCCACCCCAACTGTGTTTGGCTTACAAGGTTTAAACCAAACAAGACCCTAAGTAACACAGTTCAAGTGCTAAGAGCATGTGTGTGTGGCCAGAAGGACCAAAGCAGCGATGACTGGAGTGAACTTGCAGCACTGAAGGCGGTGGCTTTCCCCCAGTTCTCAGGACAGCGGGTGGCTGACAAATGCCAAAGGGTGAGGTCGGACACAGGCAAGGCTGTAATTTTTGTGGCTTTTATTAGAAAGTAACGCTGCCCGGCGCTGCTGAGGGTGTTACTTGCCAATGCAGAGGTAAAGACAACAAAGACTGCACCTGTGCTTGCAATAACACTTCTCTCAGATGTCTTCTGTTCAAACAGCTGTTGCAAACACTGGGATGTTGCATAATAACCTCAGGAGGAAGATGTCCTTCTTGACGGCACTTCTCAATGTATAATTATTGTTCCGCTGGTTATTCATAGAAATGTTTGTAGACCATCAATACACTGAGCCATTCAGACACTTCATTGCGCTTCGTTGTTTGAAAGGAAGGTGCCATCAACGCTGTGGCTTTCCTCCCCAAAACAGTTCAATGTTTTTCCAGTATACCCAGATCTATCCCACGATGATTCCTCTTCCTCTGCGGGCGATTTGTAGCTGACAGTCCGACAGTTCAACACCTGAACAATCTAATAATTCAATAAAGAGAGGCTGAGACTTTGAAAGTGCAAAGAACAAACAAACAAAACCCCAAGGGCAGAAAACAAAAATAAAGAAATAATAATAATAGAAATAAGAATGATAGTAAGAAAAAGAAGTTCCAGGTACTTAAGAAGAAAAAGTTGTTCCACGTACCTACGACGTTCTTCCAGGTACCTACGATGCTGTTCCAGGTACCTAAAAAGTTCTTCCAGGTACCTAAGAAGTTCTTCCAGGTACCTAAGAAGTTCTTCCAGGTACCTAAGATGTTCTCCAAGGTACCTAAGAAGTTGTTGGAGGTACCTAAGAAGTTCTTTGAGGTACCTAAGAAGTTGTTCCACGTGCCTAAGTAGTTGTTCCACGTGCCTACGAAGTTGTTCCTGGCAGTTAAGAAGTGGTTGGAGGTACCTAAGAAGTGGTTGGAGGTACCTAAGAAGTGGTTGGAGGTACCTAAGAAGTGGTTGGAGGTACCTAAGAAGTGGTTGGAGGTACCTAAGAAGTGGTTGGAGGTACCTAAGAAGTGGTTGGAGGTACCTAAGAAGTGGTTGGAGGTACCTAAGAAGTGGTTGGAGGTACCTAAGAAGTGGTTGGAGGTACCTAAGAAGTGGTTGGAGGTACCTAAGAAGTGGTTGGAGGTACCTAAGAAGTTGTTTCAGGCACCTAAGAAGTGGTTGCAGGCACCTAAGAAGTGGTTGCAGGCACCTAAGAAGTGGTTGCAGGCACCTAAGAAGTGGTTGCAGGCACCTAAGAAGTGGTTGCAGGCACCTAAGAAGTGGTTGCAGGCACCTAAGAAGTTGGTCGAGGTACCTAAGAAGAAGAAGTTGTTCCAGCTACTTAAGAAGAAGAACAACAACCAACTTAACTAACTTGAGCACCAGTTAAGGCATGTTGTTTTCCAGTCTCAGCCAGTGTAAACCCTGTCTAACATAGCGGACCAGTCTGATCAAGCTGCTGGTCAGTGACAGCTCCTCCGATGCTGCGCCGAGTTCCCCAAAAAACTCTGGAAAAAAAAGAGAGAAAACATTTGGTTGGTTTCACACAAGAGGCACGGAGGAACAACAGCAGCACACTGTCACTTGGGAAGTCCCGTTAAACACATGGTTAATACAGACAGCTCAGCGGTATTAGAAGGCTGGGAAGTGTTAACAAGCACGCACGGCAGGGCATACGAGAGGAAAAGGCACTCGTGTGTGCATACACACTGAACCACCTCCCCCAGTGCCTGTAAAAGGACATTGAGACTCCACGACAGGGGGCAGAAGTCTGGGTGTTCACACCCCAGTCCCTGCCACATGCTCCTCCAGATGTTGAACCGGCCAGATTTGACTGTCTTTCTGAAAGATGCCCAGCAGCACACACAGCTGTCAGAACAGCCCCTTCCTTTCATCCATCCTCAAACCCTGGAGCCATCACGATTTCTCAACTGAACAGGTTTAAACATTTCTAAGGCTTGACAGGCTATACAGCTCTAATTTGAGTTGCTTTTAGCTGGGCACTTGAGGCAGGGTTAAGGTAGTGCTCCTATCCTCCCACCAACTTCAGGCACCATGCTCCTTCTCCTGCACAGGGAGGAGACGGCTCTTGTAGCCTATCTGAGGCTGCTGGGAGGTGCCATCAGGCCGCACACCCTGCTCTGTGCTGGCAATCTTCTCTGCAGGTGACAGCAAGTTATGGGAAATCAGCCCACCTGTTCCTTTCCGGTCACCTTTCTGAGACGTTCCTGTAGGACCTGCCTTCCAGTGACATGGGCTTTTCCCAGCCCCTTAGTCCCTCCAGTCTCAATCATGTTGCAGAGTACCTTTCGGCTCTGCTTTTTTACACACAAAGATTGGAGGCTGAAAACTTCTGCTCAGCTGTGTAAGGAACATTTCGGGAGTATTCTCTGAATTCCAGCCACTGCCTCATTAGTGAATTTTTCCAACCTTCCAGCAACTGAGCCAGGCACATTGGTCTTTTTGGGTTTTTCGGAGTTTGCCAACAGATTGTGACACTACACCCCTTCACCCACAGCAGCTCAGAAAGCTGTGGTTTATGGAAAATGACTGCAATGGCTGCAAATGCCACGTGGACTAGCAGGTTACACACTGAAGGCACCCAATCTAGGGCTTTTGAGCATTCACCGCTGCTTGTACCTGTCGCGGCACCACAGGACAGTACAATCTTTTTAACAACAAAACTGTAAAACACAAAAAGTAGCAGCAATGTCAGGAGATGCTACTGGCAAATACTGATCATGTGCCCCAGAAGAACTCCAGTTCAAGGGCCGCTCAGCCTCTCTGTTACAGGGTGATGCCAGCCCCACCATTCTCAAGACAAAACTACCTGGAAGATTGACCAACAAAAGCACAGGGCTGCAGGCCAAAATGTTTCTAGTGAAAGTGAACCCACTCAGCAAACCTAAGCATCCCAAAGGGAAAAGTAAAGAGCAAAAAGCTCCTTATGCCTCTTGTGTTACCAGGAAATGCGAGTTGGCTGGTTCCCTGCACTTGATACGCTCACCCCTTAGCTCTTAGACATTTGAGGATGCTGAGCCAACCTTTAAATTGCAACACTCATCAATATATCATCATCTGGCGTCTCTGCCAACATGCCATAGCTGTCTGTATGTAATGCTTTGATCTTTAGGTATGCTGTTTGCTACACTGTTAGAATTTAGCCATGCACATACGTACAAACACAACACAAAAGACAGAAAAGCCAGAGGGCAAAAGCTTACCCTTATTCTTCAGGATCAGTGCATCAGCTCGTTCCCAATTATTAAGCGCAGAGAGAACATAGGAAGTGATGTTGACGTAGGAATAGGTGATGTCTGGGATATCGGAGGAGACGGTGCTTGAAGAGCACATACTGTTGCCACTGCAGTTACCAGCTCCCCGCTGAGAAGTGGTAGCAGACGGCACTGGAAATGATGGAGAAGGCATGCCTGTGCTCCTGCAGGAGAAAGAAACACCATCATGAACATTTAACTTTAGCTGCCACATACACAGCAACACTGCTGCAGATAGCTAGAAAGGACAACATGCTCTAGAACTCACAAATTAGAAAATGAGTTTCTTAATTGGTGACTGAGCTAAAGAGACAAATATTCAGGTATCACCTCAAAGTTATGCTGCCACAGGGTGAAGGCATGACCCTACTGGACAGTGGCCAGGAAGACAGGAAGGGTATCTCACTAAGTGTCAAAGGATCTCTAACAGAACAAAGATGACAACAAGGGCTTTGAAACAGCCTAGTGATGATACCTTCTTTGCTCCTCTGACCACTTCTTTGGTAAAGAACTGCTCCGCCTGATACACGGTAACTCTGGACCTCGTAACAAAGAAAACCTCTTCCCAACAAGAAGAGGTGGGAAAGAGAGAGCAGAAACATACTCATGGCCCCTAACAGTAGATTTCAGGTGGCAAGAAAGAGCCAATGGAAAGGCACTCTCACATGCAGCTTGCAACTCAAATACTCCAGCTGCTGTTTTCACTCACACCCTTATGGGCACATTACAACCCGTGTATTTTCAAATCTTACCTTGCAACAGACGGAGAAGGTGCTTTTGTGGGAAATCTCTGCAGCAAGAAAAGAACTCTTGTTAGATTTGGGCTGCTCAGCTGCCATCAGTAACTAGCGCAGCCATGCATCTGGCAGCTCAGTTACGCGTGCCCTACCTTGAAGTGGTCGTTCAGAATGCTGGAATACTTTGCTGCAGTCTCTTTTGCCACGGAACAGGGCCATGTTCAGAAGGGACAGGCAGCGCATGCTGGGAACAGAAACACACCCAAGCTTGGTCAATATTCACGCTTGCTGCTGCCTGCTCAGCAGTCACCAGCCTTGTGGGACGCAGGCAGGCATGCCTCAGCTCTACTGCAAAGTCCAGAAAGCTCGGGATTTCTCCTCCTTCTGCCTATCTTTAAAAAAGTCACTGTGAAATAATCACAAGGGGAAAGAAACCAAACGAGGGGGGGGTCTGGTCTTTCATATAAACAGGTGCCCAGCCTCTTACAGGTGCCACAGGCTGAGTAAGCCCCCCTGCAGCCACGTGCCTCAGCTACGTTCAAGCTACAGCTTCAGTTAGGTGGCTCCAACATGAGCAACCAAATTGCATTCTTTCACCTTAGGTGAAAGCCCTTAGGTGCTCTCGAGTTACCAGAATATCAGATTTTAGAGCCTGTGCCTTCCACGTGTGGTCCCTTGTGATGTCCTGGCTCACACTAGAGGTGTTCCAGTTCAGTCTGGATTTTCAAGTGTGAGGATTTCTTCCTTGCAGAACCCTGATTCCCATTTCACTCATTCCTTTTCCCCTGAAAGTAATGAGTCGTTCACTCGATCAAGTCTAAAATGTACGAAGGCACAGAAAAAGAGTTACGCACCATAACACGGTAAAGATTTCTTCCTGGGAAGGTGCTGAGGGGCTCATACAGTATTTTAGCGTCAAGATGAATCTAAGGAAACAAAAGAAGGAGAACCTTGTCAGCCATCAGTGATCTGATGGCCCGCTCTTTATAGGAGAAAACAGTGCATGCCATTATCTCAAAGGCTGGTCCAAAAGTCAGGGAACCTGCCCTGAGGTCTTAGTCCTGGCACCAAGTGCTTTTATGATCTTGAGCAGAGGACTGTCTCAAAACGCCTTGTTTTCCATGCCACAGGAACAGATAATGGCCTCTTATGTGACTCACTCTCCTCTTACAGGATTAACAGGCAGCACCCCTTCAAGTGCCATGTGTTTTTCTACCAGTACGCTTTATTGGGGCTTCTTTTAGCAACCTTCCCCATTTAGTTTCAGAGCCATAGTAGATATATGCAGGTAGTATGACATACACGGGCCGTGTGACATATACAGGCAGCACAGCCTGAGGAAGCATGTATTGGATAGGAGGGAGACAGGTATCAGTTTATTCCTATTGAAATGAGGGGATGTATGAGTGTGTTTGAGAGTTGATTTGATGCCTTGCCTCACAGCTGAAACAGCTGTCAGGTTTTTCTGTCATAGCCTGCAGACTTTTAAAAGGAATTGTTTGCTTTCTGCTCTTGAGGGACTGTATTTCCCAGCTGCTGCTGTTGCTTTGCTTTCAGAAAGCAGAGTTTCATGGCTGTTTTTTGCCAAGCGAAACATTTCCTCTAAGATGTCTGCCCCAGGCCATTAGGTGGCCCATGGGGAGCATCTACTTGAAGGGGTGCTGCCTGTTAATCCTGTAAGAGGAGAGTGAGTCACATAAGAGGCCATTATCTGTTCCTGTGGCATGGAAAACAAGGCGTTTTGAGACAGTCCTCTGCTCAAGATCATAAAAGCACTTGGTGCCAGGACTAAGACCTCAGGGCAGGTTCCCTGACTTTTGGACCAGCCTTTGAGATAATGGCATGCACTGTTTTCTCCTATAAAGAGCGGGCCATCAGATCACTGATGGCTGACAAGGTTCTCCTTCTTTTGTTTCCTTAGATTCATCTTGACGCTAAAATACTGTATGAGCCCCTCAGCACCTTCCCAGGAAGAAATCTTTACCGTGTTATGGTGCGTAACTCTTTTTCTGTGCCTTCGTACATTTTAGACTTGATCGAGTGAACGACTCATTACTTTCAGGGGAAAAGGAATGAGTGAAATGGGAATCAGGGTTCTGCAAGGAAGAAATCCTCACACTTGAAAATCCAGACTGAACTGGAACACCTCTAGTGTGAGCCAGGACATCACAAGGGACCACACGTGGAAGGCACAGGCTCTAAAATCTGATATTCTGGTAACTCGAGAGCACCTAAGGGCTTTCACCTAAGGTGAAAGAATGCAATTTGGTTGCTCATGTTGGAGCCACCTAACTGAAGCTGTAGCTTGAACGTAGCTGAGGCACGTGGCTGCAGGGGGGCTTACTCAGCCTGTGGCACCTGTAAGAGGCTGGGCACCTGTTTATATGAAAGACCAGACCCCCCCCTCGTTTGGTTTCTTTCCCCTTGTGATTATTTCACAGTGACTTTTTTAAAGATAGGCAGAAGGAGGAGAAATCCCGAGCTTTCTGGACTTTGCAGTAGAGCTGAGGCATGCCTGCCTGCGTCCCACAAGGCTGGTGACTGCTGAGCAGGCAGCAGCAAGCGTGAATATTGACCAAGCTTGGGTGTGTTTCTGTTCCCAGCATGCGCTGCCTGTCCCTTCTGAACATGGCCCTGTTCCGTGGCAAAAAAGAGACTGCAGCAAAGTATTCCAGCATTCTGAACGACCACTTCAAGGTAGGGCACGCGTAACTGAGCTGCCAGATGCATGGCTGCGCTAGTTACTGATGGCAGCTGAGCAGCCCAAATCTAACAAGAGTTCTTTTCTTGCTGCAGAGATTTCCCACAAAAGCACCTTCTCCGTCTGTTGCAAGGTAAGATTTGAAAATACACGGGTTGTAATGTGCCCATAAGGGTGTGAGTGAAAACAGCAGCTGGAGTATTTGAGTTGCAAGCTGCATGTGAGAGTGCCTTTCCATTGGCTCTTTCTTGCCACCTGAAATCTACTGTTAGGGGCCATGAGTATGTTTCTGCTCTCTCTTTCCCACCTCTTCTTGTTGGGAAGAGGTTTTCTTTGTTACGAGGTCCAGAGTTACCGTGTATCAGGCGGAGCAGTTCTTTACCAAAGAAGTGGTCAGAGGAGCAAAGAAGGTATCATCACTAGGCTGTTTCAAAGCCCTTGTTGTCATCTTTGTTCTGTTAGAGATCCTTTGACACTTAGTGAGATACCCTTCCTGTCTTCCTGGCCACTGTCCAGTAGGGTCATGCCTTCACCCTGTGGCAGCATAACTTTGAGGTGATACCTGAATATTTGTCTCTTTAGCTCAGTCACCAATTAAGAAACTCATTTTCTAATTTGTGAGTTCTAGAGCATGTTGTCCTTTCTAGCTATCTGCAGCAGTGTTGCTGTGTATGTGGCAGCTAAAGTTAAATGTTCATGATGGTGTTTCTTTCTCCTGCAGGAGCACAGGCATGCCTTCTCCATCATTTCCAGTGCCGTCTGCTACCACTTCTCAGCGGGGAGCTGGTAACTGCAGTGGCAACAGTATGTGCTCTTCAAGCACCGTCTCCTCCGATATCCCAGACATCACCTATTCCTACGTCAACATCACTTCCTATGTTCTCTCTGCGCTTAATAATTGGGAACGAGCTGATGCACTGATCCTGAAGAATAAGGGTAAGCTTTTGCCCTCTGGCTTTTCTGTCTTTTGTGTTGTGTTTGTACGTATGTGCATGGCTAAATTCTAACAGTGTAGCAAACAGCATACCTAAAGATCAAAGCATTACATACAGACAGCTATGGCATGTTGGCAGAGACGCCAGATGATGATATATTGATGAGTGTTGCAATTTAAAGGTTGGCTCAGCATCCTCAAATGTCTAAGAGCTAAGGGGTGAGCGTATCAAGTGCAGGGAACCAGCCAACTCGCATTTCCTGGTAACACAAGAGGCATAAGGAGCTTTTTGCTCTTTACTTTTCCCTTTGGGATGCTTAGGTTTGCTGAGTGGGTTCACTTTCACTAGAAACATTTTGGCCTGCAGCCCTGTGCTTTTGTTGGTCAATCTTCCAGGTAGTTTTGTCTTGAGAATGGTGGGGCTGGCATCACCCTGTAACAGAGAGGCTGAGCGGCCCTTGAACTGGAGTTCTTCTGGGGCACATGATCAGTATTTGCCAGTAGCATCTCCTGACATTGCTGCTACTTTTTGTGTTTTACAGTTTTGTTGTTAAAAAGATTGTACTGTCCTGTGGTGCCGCGACAGGTACAAGCAGCGGTGAATGCTCAAAAGCCCTAGATTGGGTGCCTTCAGTGTGTAACCTGCTAGTCCACGTGGCATTTGCAGCCATTGCAGTCATTTTCCATAAACCACAGCTTTCTGAGCTGCTGTGGGTGAAGGGGTGTAGTGTCACAATCTGTTGGCAAACTCCGAAAAACCCAAAAAGACCAATGTGCCTGGCTCAGTTGCTGGAAGGTTGGAAAAATTCACTAATGAGGCAGTGGCTGGAATTCAGAGAATACTCCCGAAATGTTCCTTACACAGCTGAGCAGAAGTTTTCAGCCTCCAATCTTTGTGTGTAAAAAAGCAGAGCCGAAAGGTACTCTGCAACATGATTGAGACTGGAGGGACTAAGGGGCTGGGAAAAGCCCATGTCACTGGAAGGCAGGTCCTACAGGAACGTCTCAGAAAGGTGACCGGAAAGGAACAGGTGGGCTGATTTCCCATAACTTGCTGTCACCTGCAGAGAAGATTGCCAGCACAGAGCAGGGTGTGCGGCCTGATGGCACCTCCCAGCAGCCTCAGATAGGCTACAAGAGCCGTCTCCTCCCTGTGCAGGAGAAGGAGCATGGTGCCTGAAGTTTAAACCCCTTCGTCCTAAACCTTTTTTCCCCTGAAAAAACTTCCTGCCCGTAAATTCAGGCACAAAAATTACGCCCAACACGTAAAATCTCCGAATCTAGGGCTCTCATTTTACCTCAAATCGGAAAACAAAAAGAGACCTCCACCCCTTAGTACCTAACCCACTTTTAAAGGAAACATCAGCCATTTCTCAAAGGTTCCTAAAATCGGGAACCCCCCCCATCTTAGTCCTCCCCCATTCTTTAGACTACCAAACTTCTAAAAGCCGTTTTCCGGGCCACGGAAAAATATTACCCCTTTAAAACTTCATCCTCAAGTTTTAAGGCACCTCCAATTCTTGGACCTTGGGCAGCATTTTTAAGGAAAATCTTGGGCTGGAAAAACCCTTAACTTGTTTCTGGAAAGCAACCAGACTGGGAAATACAGTCCTAAGAGCGAAAGAAAACATTTTTTTAAAAGTTAGGCTTGGAAAATTCCTTTGCCCTGGAACTTTTTTCCCCC